AACTTAACATAATTGAGCTTTGCGAGCCTCATAATATTGTTTATGGTGTGACATGTTGTATGACACTCTTTTATTATAAACATTAAACAGATTTGTCAACAAGTGGTGGCAAAAGAATTATAATTCAATCTCTTGTGAATTTCATTATGTGGAGGAGGAAAAACTGGACCATTTACTCCCTGTTGATTGACAATAACTCTATGCCCTGTTCAGTGCCTCTCATTAAAACAAGACAAAACAGAACAAAACAAAACAAGCATACAGCAGCAGAAGTATAACTCTGTATCTGTCTAAGAATTAATCCACTCTGTGTACTTTGTGTTAATTTTCAGCTCAAACATAGTTATTTAAAAGTTAAGCAAGTATACACCCAGCCTGTGTGGCTCAGTGGTTGAGCATTGACCCATGCACCTAGAGGTCGCCGGTTTGATTTCCTGTCAGGGCACATGCCCAGGTTGTGGGCCCAGACCCCAGTGGGTGGCATGCAGGAGGTGGCCATTTGATGTTCTCTCTCATTGGTGTTTCTATCTCTCTCTCCCCCTCTCCCTTCCTCTCTTAAAAAAAAAAAAAAAAATCAGTGAATGAATAAAAAAAAAATTAAGCAAGTATAATAGTGATCTGAAATATTCTGAGCCAAAAAGTTTATGTGGCAAGAATCATATTAGGTGGTTCTTTTTTTTGTTTGTTTTTCAATGTATTTAGTTAAATGAATGGAATTTAAAAATGTTTATTTGTAATTTTTATTTTCACACAGTATTACTATTTCTTGAATTTACTTACATGGTCTCAGTGGGACCTTAAATATTTATTTTAATTTTTTTTCTTTATTGATTTTAGAGAGAGAGGAAGGGAGAGGGAGAGAGAGATAAAAACATTGATGAGAGACAACATCTATTGGCTGCCTCCTGCATGCCACCCACTGGGGATTGGGCCCTCAACCTGGGCCTGTGTCCTGACCAGGAATTGAACCGGCGTCCTCTTGGTGCATGGGTTGATGCTCAGCCACTGAGCCACATCGGCCAGACTAAATATTTATTTTTTAAAAAGTCATGAAAAAAGTACTATTTCTTTGCAAATCATACCAAGTGAGCTTGTTTTTGAAGCTTTTTGTTTTCCTACAGGGGAGGGAGAGTGGCAGGGTAATATGAATAGAACAATCAATTGATCATGTGAATGCACCAAGTGCATCAGATAACCAGATGCACAAGCATGTGGGAGCTGTAGAGTACAGAACAAACACCCCCGACAAAGCTCTATGAAAACATACTCCCCCAAATTTAGTTTTAAGTTCAAAGTTGTTTTTAAAGAATTCATTATCATTATTTTAATGTAATGGAATCTGCCTAGGATGTTTTTAAAGGCATTTAAAAATCTTTTCCAAATCATGTTAGCAATCACTGATAATTATATTCCGCTATAACAGTCTTCTTCAGCTTATTAGTCATACAGTATATCAGATTTAAAAATATGTGTGGGAGGAACTTCTTTACTTTTCTTCTTTTTTTTATCCTCACCCGAGGACATTTTTCCATTTTTTGTTCAGATAGAGTGGGGGGTGGGGGGGAGAGGGAGAGAGAGACAGAGAAACATCGACACGAAAGGGACACATCGAGTGGCTGCCACCCACACAACCAACCAGGGCCTGGGAAAAACTGCAACTGAGGTATGAGCCCTTAGCGGGAACCGAACCCGGGTCTCTCTGGACTGCAGGCCTACGCTCTAACTGCTGAGCCAAACTGGCCAGGGCTTTCTTTTTTTTTTTTGCTCAGATAGAGTGGGAGGGAGAAAGAGGGAGGGGGAGAGAGAGAGAGAGAGAGAGAGAGAGAGAGAGAGAGAGAGAGAGAGAGAGAAACATTGACGTGAAAGGGACACATCGAGTGATTGCACCCTTACAACCCAACCAGGGCCAGGACAAACTGCAACTGAGGTACATGTCCTTAGCAGGAACCGAACCTGGGGCTCTCTGGACCACAGGCCGATGCTCTAACCACTGAGCCAAACCGGCCAGGGCTGTTTACTTTTCTAACGTTAGTTTGGATTACAAAATCTTAGTGGGGCGAGTATTGCGTGTTTAGTGAACCATTCTGCACCAACTAGACACAAGATGTACTGTGCAGTTTAAAAATCTATGCACGCAGGAGGACAGATGGGTGGTTGAAATGTTTTAAATGTCTTCATGAAAATGTTTCTGTGGAGAGTATGACTCCTAAAGTTATATACTAAAAACCCAAGTAATAGGAATAATAGAGTTTATATAAAAAGTAATATTTAAAAAGTTACATAAAATATGAACTTCATTGAATTCACTAGTTATACTTTTTAAACTTATAATACAGTTTAATAAATGAGAACACAATACTGAAATATTCTTTCCTGGTATATGCTTGCCTTATTTTCTTATTAGGAACATTTGGACTCTAGAAAACGTTTTATTATTTGGAATCAATGTATCTTCATAAGTGCAATAATCTTTTGAACTGTCTGTTGTCAGAATTTGTCAACTTTCAAGTAACAGGAACTTAAAGTAGCTTAAAAATGGTAAATTCTCCCAAAAGAACCTACCAAAAAAACCCCCAAAACACCCTAAAGAAAAGGGCCTTAGAAAGGCCTTTGGCAGCTTCTACAGTAGGTGTTCAGCGACTTTCACTCCTTCTCAGGCATTAATGTGACTGGCTTAGCTCCCAGCCAAAGGACTGGTTTCTTGTTGGTCAGCTATGCACTTTGGATCTTGGGCGCCAGCTTCATATAGAAGTCCCCTCCTGACTTGTGTGGGTAGGGAGAAAAAGAGGTTGTCATTTTTGAGAAAGGCGGTGGGGCTGGCCATAGATGTATCAAAGGCATTGATTCTTGGGGACGTTTTTTGAAATGTATTTCTGTAGGAAGGATGCTAAGTAGCAGTGTTTATGGGTAAATACAGTATTCTGTGATAAAACTATTATAGTAACTGTTCTGTAGGGGGAGGTGTTAAAAGTTACTTATGATTAGTGTTATTGAAGTGATTTATTAATTGCTAATAAATAAAAAAAATTACCCCTAGTGTAATATAAAGTGAGTTAAAAGTTCTCTAGTGATTTATATTAACTGAGGCAAAACAATATTTTGGTTTCTGAATGAACATTAACAAAATTCAAAATTAAAATAGTAATTTTAAAACATCACAGAGCATTCTTTATGTAGTAGAGGGAAGAATTATTTCATGAAAACTTACTTCAGTTATATATTTAAAAATTTATGTGATTATTTACTGGTTAATGAAATAAAATATTCAAATATATTATCCTATGGGTCTTTCATAGCCCAAAAGTGAGAAAAGCCATTTCCTTAGGGGCTAATGCTATTTTTTTCTGATTCCTTCAGCTCCATCTGCATTGCTGTTTGCTGCTATCCGCTCACTCTAGTGTTAGAACCTCTTTCCAGTCAGCAGTAAGAGAGGTTAGTTAGGAAAGATACTCTGGTAATTAGATTATTTTCTAAGCAAGAAATTATGTTAAATAGCATATCTAGGGCAACATTTTGTGAAATACTTGAACAGTTATTAGTATCACCATGTGCAGGAACCAGCTAATGGAATGGCTAGAGATTCATGCTCTGTAAAATAATTAGGTGCAGCTCCCTAGGAGAAGTGAGCGGTGGTTCCAGTACTTGGAAGCACTAGAATTTGTTGGTTGTAGAGACATACCAGTCTGCTAGAAAGGTGTTTCCTTTTCCACCAGCTACGTGTAGTTACTGTGTCTCAGAATTAGAGGCGTAGTCAGAAAATCCAGAGAATTTTTCTGTTGTTCTGTCTGGGCATAGTTTAGGGGTCTGAAGTTTCCTCTCTCTGCAAAAGTCTTAACTTTTCCTCTGCCTTTGGCTCTGGACTCGAGATATTCTCCAACAGGGAATGTTTTTCTGATCCCTATCCTTAGTGAATACTCAGATAGATGCTGAGCCTAAATGGAGTGGCAGCAGAGGAGAGCCTCTGGTGTCAGGTATTCTTAGCGTAAGATCTGTTTTGGGGAGAGGATTCATTTGGAGGACTCTCCTAGGAAGGAGGGCAAAAATTAATATTTTGAAAAGTTTATTCCCTAAATGTAAGTAATTGGCAAGAGATACTTGTTTGGTTTACATCAAACTTAAAGATTTACTTTAAAATTGTATTTATTTATATAGTCATTTATATTGATATTGTCAGTCTAGAAATATTTTCTGAATGGTTTTAGTAAAGGAACCACAAAAAGTTCTAGTTCATATTATCATTATCTCCTGGACTTGTCCTACATCATCTTAACATTTTTGTTTGATTTTAAAGTCATTCACAACCTAAGCCTTGAGCTTATTTCTTTGCCTGCCTATGTACTATTGCTTATTCTTTCTGTTTTCACCCGTCACCCAAATCACCAAACCATGGGCTTAATAACAAGGAATCTGCTTTGCCAAATACTGAATTTCTAGCGTTTAGCACAATTCCTGGTGGTGATCAGTTAATAATATTGACTGAGCAAAAGAGTGTGAGAGGTAGGAACTGTGTTCTATTCTGTCCTTACAACTTTCCAGACTGGCCTCATCTTCTAAGGTCTGTTTTCTCCACAACGTATCTTTTGACTTCCCTTTTTTATGTTGATACCACAAACGTAGACCTCAAAATTTAACATTACTTACAAAGTTTCTTGTTTTCTGGTGATATAATTTTATGTGCACTGTTGTTCCAATTTAGTGTAAGCTGCTTGAACATGAGAAGGATCATGTATCTGCACAATTTTACAAAGAAGTTATACATTATCCTTCAGTCACCAAACATTTACTTCAGTGCATGCTTCCTTTACAGCAGCCTCTGTAAAGTATTGGCAAATAAAGAGTGCTTTGCATAGAACTAAGCACATATTATATATTCAACAAACTTTTGATTATCCATAAAATATGTGAAATAACAAAATAGTTAGTGGTGACTAAGTTTGCACACAAAGAAGATAAACTTTTAAAATGATCTCTTTTATAACTTTCTTTAATGATTTCTTCAGGGAAAGAAACCGAAAAGGCTAAGGAACGTTACGACAAAGCCACAATGAAACTTCATGTGTTGCATAATCAGTATGTATTGGCACTGAAAGGGGCACAGCTTCATCAGAACCAGTATTATGACACCACACTTCCTCTGCTTCTGGACTCCCTACAAAAGATGCAAGAAGAAATGATAAAAGCACTGTAAGTTATGTTTCATATTTGACATAAAATCCCGTTATATAATGATTTTAACATTTTTTTTTCTCTTCTACTTAAAGTTTTGTTTAAAAGTTGTCTGTGTTTTGTAAGCTTTTTTATTCACCCAGACCAATGGGTGTTTCAGACCTGTTTTACATTGATTCTTCTTTATTTTTACATCTGGTATCTCTTTAGTTTATGCTTATCTCCTAAACCTTTTAGCCAGCCCCAAGAATTTCCCTTCTTTTTGTATGTTTCTGTTGTGCTCCAACTAACTGGAAATTTATATGAAACCAATTCATTAGTTGACAAATGTAAGAAGTGGATATCTGTCCCTACAGAGTTGGGTATTTAAATAAATTTTGAGCAACTGCAAAGCCTGAAGGAATAATTTTTTGAAGGTTTATTTGCCATCTTCTTGTTGTATGAGATTGAAATCAACAAATATTTATTAAAATTCTGCCTCATGCACACAATGGAATACTATGCAGCTGTAAAGAAGAAAGATCTTTTATCCTTTGAGATGACATGGAGGGACCTGGAGAGTATTATGCTAAGCGAAATAAGCCAATCAGAGAAAGACAAAATATATGATCTCACTTATTTGTAAAATACAATGAACAAAATAGACCCAGAGACACAGAAGTAGGGATCAGACTGACAAACCTCAGGATTGGGAGTGGAGGTGGGAAGAGATAAATTAAAGAACTTATATGCATATAAGCATGACCAATGGACATAGACAATAGTGCTGTAGGGGGGCCAGGGGCGGGAGCGGGGAGGAGGGTGTCAATGGGGGAAAAAGGAGAAAAAAAATATCTGTAACAAAAATAAATTAATTAAAAAAGGTAAAAATAACATTTACTGTATGCAAAGCACATTGAATATAAAGATAAGCAGGCCACGATTTTTACCTTCAAGGAGCTAACAGTATAGACTGTACATATCTATTCAAGACGATAGAAAATATAAGCCATCCTTTGGTAGACTTCATCTCCCTTATTAGCTGGTTTAGGTGATCCCTTATTTTCCCAAGAAGAAGATAAATAAAATGTTTTTTAGTCAAGTAAATATGTAAAATTTTTTTTTTCCAAAAATTTTTGTTCTTTATTGATTTTTAGAGAGAGAGTCAGAAGGGAGAGGGAGGGAGAGAGAAACATTGATGAGAGAGAACATCTATTGGCTGCCTCCTGCATGCCCCACACTGGGGATTGGGCCCACAACTTAGGCCCTGACCGGGAATTGAAAATATGTAAATTTTTAAGGTTGTTGATTAAATAATGAAATGCCTACTTAAAATATTTAATTTATAAATTTAGTTATGTCTATTTAAATTATATATTATTGATTCAGAAATATTTTTCTATTATCCATTTTATGAATCAATATTTTTCAAACTCTTCACATTAATCTTCAATAATAATATCTTCATCATCACTAGAACATCTTTTTGAGGCATATAATGGTTTCCCACAGCATATTATCTTTACTTTCTAAGAAATTGTTTCAGATTGAGCATTTAAAAAACCCAAGCATGGTCCGGCCGGTGTTGCTCAGTGGTTGAGCATCGACCCCTGGACAAAGAGGTCGCTGGTTTGATTCCCAGTCAGGGCACATGCCCAGATTGGGCTATTCCCCAGTGGGGGGCATGCAGCCAGTCGATGTTCTCTACCATTGATGTTTTAATCTTTCTCTCCCTCTTCCTTCCTCTCTCTCTAAAATTAATAAAGAAAAAACAAAATAAAATAAAAAAATCCAAGCATGATGATATCACTGAAGTTGAATCCCATGTCACAAGTACTCATTCATATAACATTAGGAGACTTTGTCCTTCCCTTACCCCCATTGTCTTAAAGGTGAATATTGATGATTTCCACATCATAACCACTTACTGTATTGCTTTATAAATATCTAGATAGGCTTGTTTACATTTCTATCATTTGGTACTTTTAATTATTAGTTCATAACCCCAGTGCTATTTACTAAATTCTCATTACATTTCTCTGTCTCCTCCTTTTTAAAATCAAAGCAGCTTATGTCTTTTTTTTTTTTTTACCCAAACATTTTCTTGCTATTTAAAATAAAGTAATTGAAAAAATACTTTATAATAAGAAAATTTGGTAATGATTTTGGGAAAGATAAACAAAGAACGCCTTATATTTATTTGGGCATATGGAGGATTAGCTTCTGTGTTTACACTTGTTGTTGAGTCCAGTGATGATCAATGTTATAGTATTGTCAAGTTGAGATCAGGTCTTGGTGACAGAATAGTTTTTCCTTTTGCACTTACTAGGAAATGCTAAAAAAATGTTATGATATTTTTGGTACTGAATGGAGGCCAGGAGAAGAGATCTAGATGTCAGTGAAGGTAGAAGAGCAGAGGCCCAGGAGCAAGAGAAGAACCAGTGGCAGGGTACGTGAGGCAGCTGCAGACACTAGAAAGAAACATTAAAGAGACTGTTGTGGATCCATAGTTCCATGTTATGGAATCCAATATTTCTATAATAATGTTGAGAAACAGAAAGTGATCAACACTGACATTATATTTAAATACCTCAGATACAGGTTGGGAAAGGTAATGCCTTATTCTAGATCATTTGCAGTTATTATATTTTATCAAATGTAAGTTGCTAATCTATGCATTTGTGTAATCCCTTTGCTTTACTTTGCAGGTATATGAATAAAGGTGGTACATAAAACTACCACCTATAAATATTGACATTACATTTTTTTTAAGCTCTATTGTTGAATGTGTTACAGATGTCCCCCATTTTTGTTCCATTGACCCCCTCCTCCCCACTCCCACCCCTCTCTTGCCTTCCCCACACTACTGTCTGTGTCCATAGGTTGTGCATATATGCATATAAGTTCTTTGGTTTATCTCTTTCCACCTCCCCCCGCTTCCCTTTGAGGTTTGTCAGTTGAACAACCAATTTGTACTTCTTAATCTCTTCACCTTTTTTACCATCCTGCAAACCCCTTCCCAACAGGCAACCAACAAAAAGTTCTTTGTATCTACGAGTCTGTTTCTGTTCTGCTTGTTCATTTGGTTTGTAGATTCAACTGCTGATAGATATGTATTTATTGCCATTTTGTTGTTCATATTTTTGATCTTCAAGAAGGCCCTTCAACATTCCATATAATACTTTGGTGGTGATAAACTCCTTTACCTTTTTCTTGTCTGGGAAACTTGATATGTCCATCAATTTTAAATGATAGCTTTGGAGGATAGTGTAATCTTGGTTGTAGGTCCTTGCTTTTCATCACTTTGCATATTTCTTGCCACTCCCTTCTGGCCTGCAAAGTATCTTTTGAGAAATCAGCTGACAGTCTTATGGGAGCTCTCCTGTAGGTAACTAACTGCTTTTCTCTTGCTGCTTTTCAGATTCTCTCATTGTCTTTAACCTTTTGCATTTTGATTATGATGTTTCTTGATGTAAGCCTCTTTGGGTTCATCTTGTTTGTGACTCTCTGGGCTTCCTGGACTTAGATATCTATTTCCTTCACCAAGTTAGGGAAGTTTTATGTCATTATTTTTTCAAGTAGGTTTTCAATTTCTTGCTCTCTCTCCTCCCATGATGTGAATGTTGTAAATATTGATATTACATTTCTTAACGTTTTTGTTCTGAATCCTTTTTGGTTCTGTGTTTTCTTGATAAACTTAAAAGTGTTGTAAAATTTTATTTTTGTTTTCAGAAAAGGCATATTTGATGAATACAGCCAGATAACTAGTCTTGTTACAGAGGAAATAGTGAATGTCCATAAAGAGATTCAAATGTCGGTTGAACAGATAGACCCTAGCACAGAATATAATAATTTTATAGATGTTCACAGGTATGTATGATATTTTCATTCTTCTTTCAGTACTGATGACAGTATTATTTTGTTTATCATATAATATTTAACCAAATTAAAATAAAAAAATACTGAAAAGCTTGTTAGGGCATTAGATGTTTTAGATTAATTCGCCCCCTTTTAATTATTTTCAAAGTCCTCTTTCCATGATGATAACTATTTATATAATGATCTTTAAAAATTTGTCAATGACAACAATAAAGATAAATTTAAAATAAAAAACATTTGTCAGTTGTCACTACATTATTTCTTAAGCCTATATTTAATTGATGAAATTATATTTTCTTTTTAACATTTCTATAGTAATAATATTATGACTTGTGTGTTAAACTTTATAATGTACCAATTACTTTTTCATACATTCATCATCTTATTTTATACTCATTACCATTGTGACAGGAATAAAACCACTTAATATCCACATCTATAAATGAGAAAATTAAGGCTGAAATTACATGACTAGATCTTTGATGCTTGGGATTTAATTTGATTTATTCTATTTATGTTTACTTTGTTAATTTAATTTGTGATGAGAAAATATATTCTGCCTTTGGTGTGTACTAAGATATATTATGATAGGCTATTCATATTGATCAAAGTTATTTGGCATGCTTTACTAGAACATCAGCTGCTAAAGAGCAAGAAATTGAGTTTGATACTTCCTTACTAGAAGAAAATGAAAATCTTCAGGCAAATGAGATTATGTGGAATAATTTAACAGCAGAAAGTTTGCAAGTAATGTAAGTACCTGGAAAGCCTGGATGGTTTAAATATTACTATTTTTATTTATAGTTGTACATTCTGAGATTTAAAATTCCAATTTATATTTTGTGCAAGTAATGAAAATAAAATAAAAAAGAAACTGATTGTTGCCCTGGCTGGTTTGGCTAAGAGATTAGAGCGTTGGCCCATGGACCAAAGGGTTGTAGGTTCTATTATCAGTCAAGGGCATGTACGTGGGTTGCAGGTTCAATCCCTGCAGGAGGCGACCTATTGATGTGTCTCTCTCACACTGATGTTTCTCTCTCTCTGTCTCTCTTCCTCCCACCCTTCCACTTTATCTAAAAAAATAAACTGATTATTGTTTGGTCAGAATGAAATGTTTTGACAACTATATTAACTTTGCTCATTATTCACTAATTCATTTTGGTAATTCCAAAAATCAAAATTCTCTGTGATGTATTCATTCATTTATTGCTAATATCTTATATTGTAATAATGCTTAATTCTTTTCAAAACTTATTTTTTTAAACCCATTTCATCTTCAAAACTTATTGGCAAAACCATTTTGGAAATGAGGACATACATGAGTGTTAGCAGTAGAGACTTGTAGGTGTCAGCAGCGTTTATTACAAAATTTCACTTTTAATTGAGTTCTCTCTTTTTTTTTAATCCTCATTCGAGGACATTTTTCCATTTTTTGTACAGACAGAGTGGGAGGGAGAGAGAGGAAGAGAGAGAGAGGAAAACATCGATGTGAAAGGGACACATCAAGTGGCTGCCACCCGCACGACCAACCAGGGCCACAAACTGCAACCGAGGTACGCGCCCTTAGCGGGAACCGAACCCGGGTCTGTCCGGACCACAGGTGGACGCTCTAACCGCTGAGCCAAACCGGCCAGGGCTAATTGAGTTCTCTTTAAGCAGGGAAGTCTTCTATTATAGGCTAGTAAATCAGTTCCTTGTTTACTTTGTTGTTGCTATTGCATAAAATTTTAAAGGTCTTTTGAGAAATCTTAATGTGTGTTTTTTAATCCTTTTCAAATATTAAAGCCTGTTAATAGTACATTTTTAAATTTAGAAAATATAATTGAGCCATTCTACTTTACAATATTTAACCTTCTCTTGATTTTTTTCAGGAGCAACACAAAGAAACTTTTATCTATTAATAATCACTGTATATCTGTGTCAGAACCACAACTCAAAAGAGTCAGCCAATAGTCCCCATCTAATATAATTAAATAATCTCCTTTCTGTTGTTCAGTAACAGTGTTGTAGATAGGTAACTGAATGGTAGGATCCTGGGACTAGCTCTTGGAAAGGTTTTTAATATCCTTAAAGTTGGCCTGATGGGATTGAAGAAACTAACAATGCTTGTCAAATCACCTGTGTGAGATGAAGGCTTAGTCATTGTGGTGGACTGACGGTTGACAAGAGGAACATGGGAGTAGCCTGCATTCAAAGGTTTTTCCTAGGGAACCGCATTGGGATTCTTGAAGCTGTTACACATGTTTTGAAGTCCTTCACTGTAGTTTCACTTTGGTTTTAGATATATCACCATTATGGTGTTAGTTATCCCTAAACCAGTGGTTCTCACCCTGGTGATTTTTGTCCCCAGGGGAAATTTGACAGTATCTGGAGACATTTTTGTTTACCAGGTGGGAAAATGTTACTAGTATCTAGTGGGTTGAAGCCATGGATGCTGCAGAACATCCTGCGTCACAGGACAGCCTCCTAAAACAAAGAATTATCTGGTGAAAATGTCAGTAGTGTCAAGGTTGAAAAACTGCTCCAAACAATAGAGTAGAACGATGGAGCTTCTCAATTCTTGTGCATTGACAAATTCCATTTAATTCCTGTGCTGCTTGATGAAGGAATAGGACATAAATTGCTCCTGTTATAAAGATTATTGCATTGTTATCAAATAATTTATTCATCAAAAATACATTTACTATGAATTTAAGGTTTCAAGGGTTACTACTTTCAAGGAATTTGCACTAAAATTGATCAATTGATTGTTGTAAACACCAAGAAAGAATGAGCATACGGATATTGGAGTGTAATGTGGTAAAATGAAAAATAGCTACCTGTTATAAGCTTATGTAAAATAAGAGATTTTATAACCAACGAAGAATTTGTTTTATTGCTTTTCAGGATATAATGAGAGCAAAACTAGTTATGGTTATAAATCATTATTTCTTAATTATGATGATGAAGCAATGTATAAAAATGTAATAAATTTAAGATAATATATCTTTGATAATGTGATAGATTTACTTGCTTACATCTTACTGAGGCAAAACTGTAGCTACATTTCTTTGAATAGTATTTAAATTCAGTATATGAGTTCAAGATCAGGTTTTCCTCAAGAATTTTATTTCAAGAATGAGTTATTCAGCGTGTCTGTTGGCACTCTCAAGATATTCTAAGGTAATTCCATTAAGAGATGTATAAGTATATAATGTCATGCAAGAGAAAAGTATTTTTAACATAATATTAATGCTTTAAAGTTAAACTAATACACAGTGTGGCAAAAGTAGGTTTACAGTTTGTATGGAAAATAATACAATAATTAATAAATAATAATACAAGAATAAATTGTATTTATGTATTCATTGTAAACCTACTTTTGCCACATGGTATCTTTTCTTTTTGAAGCATTAATTTGATAATTTTGTCATAGATTGTGTTAAAATATTATATCCAATAGAAATGAATGAGACAAACAAACAGTTTGGGGAAAAATAAATGCAGATGACCAATAATTCTGTGACAGTTAAAGAAATACAATTTTTTTTGTATTTTTTACCTACCAGATTGGCAAGGATTCAATAATTTGATAATACCTAGTGTGGTGTATGTTATGGAGGAATAAGCCCTCACAAAATCTTGGCAGAAATGAAAACGAGTGTAACCTTTTTGGAGGATTATTTGGCAATATACATCTAAATCCAACTTACACATGCACTTAGACTTAGAAATTCCACTTCCAGAACTTTAGCCTACAAGTATGCAAAGATATGTATGTGTACAACCATAAATGGTGGGTTGCCTGGGTCTGAATCCTGACAGTACGACTTACTACTTTTGTCAAACTGGACAGCTTTTTTCATTCCTTTATGCCCCATTTTTCTTAAATGTGAAATGGTAATAATAATGGCACCCAAATCAGTGTTAGGTCTCCATGCACGAATAAATGTAGAATGCATGAATGTTTCCTTGGCGCATAGTATGTTCTAGGCATTATTTTTGTTTGTTTGTTTTATTACTGCTCGGGGTGGTTTCAGACATTAAGAACTATCAGTACAATGCTCAGGTTTTTCAGGGGCCTTTGGAAATATTTGATATCTGCTAATTTTTTGTTAGTTCCAAAATGTGAGAAGAAAACTGTTACAAGGTATAATATCACTTCACTAATTATTAAATTCAGTATACACAAAAATATTTTAAACAATTCATAGGTTAAATGTTCTCACTTTTTAATATCTGCATATGAATGAGGGCTTATGAGAAACCACTTTTTAATATATATGATATTATATGAATAGAGGCTAAGGACTATAGAAGTCTCAAAACAGTCGTGTTATTTGAGCAAAATAATGGAAAAATCCTATTCATCAATAAAGGTTTGGTTAAGTGAATTATGGTACACCCATAATTTTTCTATTATGCAGGTTTTATTTTTATTTCTTTTTTGGTTGCTACCCACACAACCCCAACCAGGGCCGGGGACAAACTGCAACCAGGGTACATGCCCTTAGCGGGGACTGAACCTAGGTCCCTCTGGTCTGCGGACTGACGCTCCAACTGCTGAGCCAAACCAGCCAGGGCTCTATTATGCAGGTTTTAAATAAGATAGGTTAATATGTATGCTTAAATGGAGAGATATCCAAAGTATATGATAAAGGGCAAAAATAAGTTATAGAATCAAGTTATAGAATATATATGGAGTGAGTTAATTAATAAAAATGATATATATGTATGTTTGCATATATATAGACTATGTTTTGAAATGGAGATGAATGGATGGGGTAAGAAGGAAAGCATCTTGAAGCTAATATTTATAATTATGTTAAATAAATAATTTATTTCTCATCTCTTTGAATTTTCTTATTAGCATGACTCTCTCCAGAATATTAGGTATTTATTTTTCCTTTCATTTTGTCAGTTCCTTTTACTAAGCATTTATTTCTGAATCACATTGCTTTAAATAGTTTTAGGGTAGAACTCTCCCAAAAGCTCTATTTGGAAATGCTGATATTTTATGGTCTGTGCTCCCCTATATTCTACATTTTTGCTTAGCCCATTTAAGAGCTCTAAAGCATTAATATTGAATAATATTAAAGAAAATTTCAGAAACATTTCCCTTTTTGCTTTGCTTTCCTTTATGTTTGCTTAAGAGATCGTCACCCTGTACATTGTGAAAGGTTGCATTAGTTTGGAAGTGAGAATCATTAATTTGTGACTCCTGGAGACGTTTTCTATAAATAGGAGCCATACTGGCAATCTTCCAGACTGCTGATTAGTAGTGACTATGAAAAGAGATAATTGGACCACATTTCTCTTGGACTCGTCTAAATTCTTGGCTAGATGTCAGATGATGTGAATGATTAACATCTTCTCAGATGAATGTAAGAGGTTCTGAGATTATTACACAACTAGTATCTATACCCAAAACAAGGTTATATAGTGTTGCTGCCTGCTCCTTTTCAGGCTTGAGGGACATCTAGTGATACAGTAGTAAGGGACAAAGTTATTGCATTTATCCATCTAAATATGTGCCACTCAGCATTTTATCATACTCTTATTAATTATCTACCAACTATATTTATAAAGATTGGTCAAACCCAGTTTTCCACCCATTTTTATATAGTTCATGAGCTAAGAATGCTGTTTGCATTCTTAAATGGTTAAAAAATCAAAAGGAGAATTAATTACATTTTGTGATACATGAAAATTACATAAATTTAACAGTAGTACATAAAGTTTTATTGGAACACATCTACACTCACTCATTTAC